TCATTGCAAGTTTCTTCCTCTTACGATTATCCTCTTTTTGCGTTCAATCGTTTTTCCCTCATTTTGCAGGCTCAAAGTAGCGCGCCCAATTATTACAGATAAGAATTACCTGTCTACATAGTGGCTATCATCGTCCGAAAGAATAGTCCGTAGCGCGAATGTTGTTAACCTTGCGGTTACTGAGATTTGCATGAAAGCGGGACCGTTCGATCGCGGGGCCCGGGTGCATGCAATCGTGTCCCGTACGCTACTCGATTGCATCTAAAATACAAGTTTCACGCATTATACGTGACACACGCTCGTACGACGTTCAGATGTCGGTTCAACGTTTTTTATCATTCGGGGTAAAAGTGAAAATGATCATTGATTGGCACAGCGGTGCAAAGGTTTCTCTCTCGAACGGATGTTTCGACGTTCTTTTGCCGTTCGTTCGATCCTTCGAATCGATTACGTCGCATTTGCGAAAGGGTGAAAAGAGCGGTCATTGAGCTTCGCGTTTTTCATCTGTATTTCTGCAAGAATCAGTTTATTGCTGAAATGAGTAATGAGTCCGCGTGATTACACGAGTTTGGATATCGAAGTGAAATTAATGCTATCGATCTATTTTTATCTTACTTAACTTAGCTTACTTAACTCGAGTCGCAACTTCAACGTGCGGCGCTCATATACTTAAAATAGTAACAGGTTGCTCGAAAATATTATATTGATTTCAGCGTTTGACGTCATTGAAGTGTATGTGACAGACATATGTATGTCATTTTAATACGATGCCGTAATGTAATTTACATGTGCATTTACCACACGCGCACACATACGCGTGTAAATAGATACATATTGTATGTCAACTGTTATTGACTTATCATTAAGGTCGCAATAAATAAATACGTTTTCCGTCTATACAAACTTTTTAGATGTGTAAATTCCGCATTCGTATTATTAGCGCGTAAAATGCAACTTTAATTAACATATTTTAATAATTACTAATAATAGTATGTCTCTCTCTCTCTCTCTCTCTCTCTCTCTCTCTCTATGATTAACATAAATCACGAATTTAATTCCAGAAGACGCTTCATTTACGATATACGATTAAGATAGGATGTGTAGAAATAATTTTTAGTCACATCAGCATCTTAATGTGTAAAAAATATTGTGCTTATTTTATCATCGTATAATTAAGTAAATATTTTATCACGGGATAAAACAACCGGTCTTTTTTGGGATTGGAAAGCATTGATGAGCTTGAAATCTTCGGACGACGACGACGATTTTACCGACAGCTACCTTATTAAGACAACTGTGAAACAGAGACTTCGATTAGCTCTAAGGCTTTGGTGAACGTTCGCTAGACGGAGACACCTTTATCAACATCGATATTTTAAATATTTTAAATTACTGTCTTTAATTTAATTGCTGTCTAATGAATTTCCATGACGTACTCGCGACATTTTTTCCTTCTCTTGTTCCCATGGCGGTACACACGTGAAACACGTGACGCTAAAAGAAAAGCCGATTACTTTGTTCAGGCGTTACACAAGCGTTACTTCCGATTTGCGACGAACGTTTTATTAAATTGGATCGCTATATTAGGGTCCTGTTGACAAATCTCTGAGAGCCATTCACTTATTTTAAACGATGGTCTAGGCAGGTGACACGGCAGAGTTCTTCGAAGAGGCAGCCGATGCATATTGGCCAGAAGTTAAGAACGGTCTGCTTGCAGTCTAGACAGAATAGATCGTACAAGTCGCGGCGATCGATGGAGAATGAAAGGTAATAGTGATCGGCATCTAACGATGGCGGTGATAAGTTCACGTGGACTTCGTAGAGAAACCAGTTTTTATTTCATCGTTAACTTCCTCTCCGACAGTGCGCGATTTATTCATTTTTTGTCCTTAACTCACTTACCAATAATTCACCACTAATAAGTGACTATGGAAGCAAGATATATATAGCACAAAAAACGCAGTTCTTTTTTTGTAGCCTTTGTTTCACGTGTCTACTTTTCTTTGAACCATCAATACCTACGTTACGAAATCGTTTTCATATTTTTTAATTGAAAAACTGTAATGTATCAGAAAATGATTATGCATTTTTGCGTACTAAATTACACTTTTTTGAATAGATATACATACGTCTTATTTATATTTTATATTTCTAACTAAAAAGTATTTGCGCAGTTACCTACATCCTGAGGTCTTTGTTTCTTTTTTTTTTCTCTAAAGTTGCAAAAATCGTTTTACCAGGTCTGGGCGGAAGAACACGTTGCAAACACGATGTTGCGAATCGCGCAAATCGTTCGACAGCACAGTGCACACTGATCGTGCATTTGTGCAATGGAAAGTCCATCGGCCTCGTATGTTGCATTCTTTTTTCCGCGTCGATTTTATCGCGCTCGATTGAACAACATCGAGTCATTCAACGTGTTCTGTTATTAGCGTCATACAGTTACTTAAATATTACTAGGAAGTACTGCGTTAAAGATACAAATTTCATAATTTACTGATAATTAACGCAATCTTCTAAAAGTAAAATAATCCTTTTCTAAAAATAGAAAAGAATCTATATAAATACATATACATAGTCGTGCTGTTCCTAAGAAAAATGGCTCTATTTCATAAATAAAATAAAGAGCAGGATAAAATGTATACTTGTTTTTATTAAATTAAACAATATTATAAAATAAAAATAATTATAAAAATGTTCACTTTTGGTCTTCACAAATTTCTTCAAACAACCAAGCTTTCAATTCTCAGCACGCAAAACCTCAATTAGTATCGATTGTTTTCATTAAATTAATCTATACAGCCTTGATATTTCGATGATATTTAGACCAAGCCCTTTTCTAAAATTTAAATGCGAAGACCTTAATTATTATCAAGGCTTTGAACATTTATCTCAAGGCAAGCGTCGAGATTATGCATAATGTGAGAATTTGTAATTTTGTTTCAAAAAATTTATAAAATCAAAAGACAATATTTTTATATAATAATTGATCTATTTAACAAAAATAATATATTTCATGCTATTTTTTATTTTAATTATTAAATAAATACATTTTTTTTTAGAAACAAAATTTATGGTATGACTATGTACAATATTTTTATCAATGCTGCATATGTGTATACATATTTATTCTTTACAATTGTATTTATAATACAAATAATTGCTATATCGGACCTTTTTGTGCACTTTTTTGAAGGCGCTGTGTTCAATTACAGGTTGAGATACTTGGAACCTTTATGTAAACCTTTCTTCGTCGAAAAAGTGAAAGGTTACCGAACATAACCGGACAACCTTCTAGTTGCTGTAGAAATATCCTGAATTGACATTTCACACTCACCTTTTTTTATTGCGTATCATATTCTCATGTTTTGCAATTAATTTTTATAATTCAAGATCATCGTGATTTCTTTTTTTATTTTAATTGTAAATTTATTGCCTAAATATACTAAATCTCTTATTGGAAAATTCATAAATATTCAGTTTTGACATTTTTAAAATATTTGTTTTATTGCTAAGCATTTATCATTCATCTTTTATCGATCTTTATTTTTTAAATAGGTATTTATTATTTTAAACAAATTAATTTTCAATTTGAATTTGTATACATCCTTGAATCTAAATTTAAATGAAGTATGAGATTAATCAGTAAGCAATGATTTAGTAGTTCCTGTTATGGAATATATATATATATATATATATAT